GTCTGATTCAAAATGGCCAAAACCAGTCCATTTCAGCTCACTAATGCCTAGGATATCAATCTTTATGCATTCCATTTCATTTTTGACAACTTCCATTTTTTCCAATCATATGAATATAAAAAAATGACATAATCATATTTCATATGTGTATTTGCTTTCAAATAATAGCACTTCTCTGTAAGTAATATCCCATTCTCTATGTTCAAGGGGCCTTTTATTGCAGAGATTGCCTTATCAACGGTAGTTCCATTGATTAAGTTTTCTTAATGGTGTCTTTTGTGACATAGTTCCAGTGAAGTTCCTATGTGTATATCTGGGTGTGTGAATCTATACATACATATTAAATACCATATATTGTGGATGTTTACAAACATTTTCCTTTTGTCCTAAAGGGCAGATTTGTACGGAATTTCATTTTGTCGTATAATTTATAATACTTTACTGTCATTTTTCTCTTCTCACAGCTACTGGGGATATGGTTCATTAGTGAATGGATGGCTGCTGGAAAAAACTCAACTTTCCAGCTGGTGGAACTGGGTCCAGGTAGAGGTACCCTCATTGGAGATATTTTGAGGGTAGGTAACAGAAGAATGTCTTAAAAGTTTCATGATGATGAACCTTACTACTTCTGACTGTTGGCAAATTTGGTGGATTTCCTTGGCTTTCGGTCCTATCTCCTTGATCTCATATTTCTCATCTAAAATAACATGTTGGAATAACATATTGAATTGTTATTTATTGTTATTTGTTTGCAAGTTTAAAAAAGGGGAGAGGAATGTGAAAGCTGAAAGTATTAAATGTTTAGAAGATAATAATAATAAAAAAAAACTCACTGCTGTTGAGTTGGATCCGACTCACAGCGACCCCTCCTTGGGTTTCTGAGGTGGTATCACTACAGAAGTAGATTGCCCAACCTTCCTTCCGAGGAGTGGCTGATGGATTTGGACCACCAGTCTTCTGGTTAGCAGTCAAATGCCTTAGGCACTATGCTACTAGAGCTCCCATATGGGAAAAAATATTTGCCTTCTGAATTGGGGAAGAGAATTTTAAGTACACAAAGAAACCATAAGGCAAAGATGAATTATTTCAACTACATTAAAATTAGGAATTTTCTGTCTTCAAAAACACAAGAAAGAGAATGAAAAGACAAGCCACAGAGTGGGAGAAGGTATTTTCAAAACTTATAATCAACAAAGAACAAGTAATTAGAATATATAAACAACTCCTTTAAATCAATGAAAAGACAGATAACTCAATAGAAAATTCAGGCCAGAGACTTGAACAGGCCCTTCATGAAGGAGGAAATCCAGAGGGCCAATAAAATGAAAAGTATTTATCCTCATTGATAATTAGAGTAATGAAAATTAAATCACAGCGAGACACCACTATATTCTCACTAAGTTGGGAAAAATTAGGAAGTCTCACAATATCAAGTGTTGGTGAGGATGGGGAGATGAGAAGCAATGGGGACTCTCACAAGCTACTTGTCAAAATGTAGAATGTAATTTGATACAACCACTTTGAAAAGCTGTTGGACATTGTCTGCTAGTGTCAAAGTTACTTACTTATACTGCAGACGCAGCAATTTCACTGCTAGGCCTGTGCCCTAGAAAAACTTGTACATATCTGTATCAAGAGATATGTACAAGAATGTAGCAGCTGTTGTTTAGAATCAGAATTGGAAACCACTCAAGTGTCTATGAGTGGGAGAATGGGAAAATACATTGTGACATAGTTATAGAGTGCTGTGAAAATGAATGGAATTCCAGCAGAACACAACAATATAAAATGTGGAAAATGATGTTGAGTGAAAAAAGCAATTTGCAGAAGACTTCATATCATATGATTGTATTTATATAAATTATGATTAGCATCAAATGTATTATTTGATGCTATAAATGTAGTTTCTAAATATAAAGAAAAGCCAACTTGAGGTTTAGGATAGTGCTGACATCTGAGGACAGACAGAAGGTACAGGGGCTTATAAGGATCAAGTTATTAGTACCATTCAAATTTGATTTCTTATAGATGCAGTTTAGTCATCTCAAAATGGAGGTTATTTCATAAACTTCTAAAAAACCAAACTCATTGCTGTTGAGTCGGATCCGACTCATAGACCCCTCCTTGGGTTTCTGGGGCAGTATCACTATGGAAGTAGACTGCTCAGTCTTCCTTCTGAGGAGTGGCTGGTGGGTTTGAACCACCAGTCTTCTGGTTAGCAGTCAAGTGCCTTAGGCACTACACCACCAGAGCTCCCTTCATAAACTTAGCGGCTTTATAAATTAAGGTAATATACATTTCTTTGATCCTTTTTTATACTCCATAATCTGAATTATTATTTTTATTGAATGTTAAATTTTTTATTTGTGAATTAGAATTCTAGTTTCATCATTAGAAAACCAAATTCTACAGTGTTCATTTCTTATATAAGCAATACTCCATAACTCTGTTGTTGTTGTTGTTGTGTGCCATCGATTCGGTCCCGACTCATAACGACCCCTCCTTGGGTTTCCGAGGCAGTATCACTACGGAAGTAGATTGCCCAACCTTCCTTCCGAGGAGTGGCTGGTAGGTTTGAACCGCCAGCCTTCTGGTTAGTAGTTAAGTGCCTTAGCCACTATGCTACCAGAGCTCCTTCTCCACACTCCAGTAGGTTATAATTCTCTAAAGCTGCTGGTGAGGAGCTTGTGCGAAGATCAGATCTCTCTGAAACCAAATAGTCTACTGTGACATGAGCAAACTATTGAGGTAAATTATTAGAAACCTTAAAATCCCCTCAAGACATTACATTTTGCCAATAGTTTTTTCTTCTTTCTGTATCTAGGTGTTCAGCCAGCTTGAATCTGTGCTACAAAACAGTGACATTTCAATCCATCTTGTAGAAGTGAGTGAGAAATTAAGTGAGATCCAAGCAAAAACACTGACTGAAGAGAAGGTTCCATTGGAGCGAAGTGCCGGATCCCCACTGTATATGAAAGGGGTCACTAAGTCAGGATTTCCAATTTCCTGGTACCGAAATCTGCAAGATGTTCCAAAGGGTGATTATTTTGCATTCATGAGTGAATTATGATCACAACCTCTCACAGTAGTGATGGGTGATAACAAGCTTTTACAACATAATTGATCCTGTTATCTATCACTGCCAGGTCTTTTACCCATATAGACTGTGGCTAACAGTTTTGTAGCAAAGAACTTAATATTAGAAACTAAAATTGCCTAACATTAAGGAACAATATATTTCAAGTAGTTTTGCAAAAAAACCTGTTGTACTTTTTTAATGTTTCCCTACAGCTAAGATAGCACTGATAATGAAGTAGTACAAGGCAGGAGGACTGGAGGAACGAATGTTATGAGATTAGCAAAATTTTCTGAGCTTTTGAAAATTCTTGCTTGTCTAAAAGAATAAGATGTGCCAGTAAAATCTCTGAATAAGCCAGGAATTTAATATTGATGAGTCCCAGTTCAACCCTAATGTAGTGGTACATCCTGGGCAAGGCACCAAAGTCATTCCTGGCCTCAGCCTTCTCTCTTGATTTTATAAAATTCAGATTCCCTTCCACCTTTAACAAATTTGAGTTCTAATTTCCTTCAGGCCCAATAATGAGATTAAACCGGTAATACAGATGTTTTGGTTCTCTGACCCCGTTACATGGAAAATGAGAAGAGTGATATTTGTACCCTACTGTGTTCTGCAGAGTAGGTCTGCCATGGAGAGGTTTGGATGACTGAATGGTAGTTACCATTATGGAAGCATTACAGGTTTCACCAGTGAAAAACCAGGCATTTTCTTTCTCTCAGTTAATGTTCAAAAGAAAACAATGAATTGCCTTTAATACACTGAAGTATTAATTTTTTTTCTTCTATTTTTAAATAGGGTTCAGCTTTTATCTTGCACATGAATTTTTTGATGTTCTTCCTATACATAAGTTTCAGGTATTGATGGACAAAAAAGTTTATAAATGAATAACAAAGGCCTTACATTGTGAGAATGAACATTTATGGTATTTAATGGAACTGGTGCTTAATTTAATGAACATTACTTGTAGAAATTATTCTTAACTATATTTGGAATTTGATGAATATAAATTGAAAAGCAAAAATAGAAAGTAGATTCTGGTGGGATAAGTGGGAGCATTTGAGATGGTACATTGGCTACAGTGCAATGTACAATGTTTTTTAAGCAATTTTTTTAAGTTCGAAAAATTAAAATTTTCCTTCTTTCTTTCCATGAGGAGTTAAGATTTCATGATACTGTATGTGCACTGTACTTTTAACTTTTAATGCTAAGATCAGTTACCATCATCATGTAACTGTTTGTTATCTCTAGCTTCTGTTTATTCTTTTTTTCCGTTTTTGGTCACTTTCCATGCTGATTTTCTTTCTTTTATAGCTCCAGCTTTGTTACTGCTTTTCATTTACAACATTAATAGCAGTATACATTCATTAATTTGCTCGTCTTGTTCAAAGGAAATGAATTAACACCCTTAAATAATTTTAAGTAGTAAAGTGCTGTGTGTTAGTTATCTATGCTATTTATGATAAGATGAGAAAACTAATACTTTGAGGAGAGGCAATTTTGAGAGCAAATTAGCAAAAATTCATTTTTACACATTATTTTGTGTTTAGAAAACACCAAAAGGATGGCGAGAAGTGTTCATTGATATCGATCCGCAAGTTTCTGATAAACTGAGGTTTGTTTTGGCGCCTTGTGCCACCCCAGCAGAAGCCTTCCTACAAGTAGGGATACTTTTTTTTCCTTCTACTCTTTCATTTGCCACAGAATCTTCCAAGTCTTATTTACTGGGTTCCTATTTTAGAATTCATTTACAGAAGAAAGAATATATGATGTGCCCCTTGTTAATGGGAAAAAGTACAAAGGGATTTAAACAGGAGATTAGGTTGAAATCCATGATTGTATTTTTCAGTTGTGCGATGTTAAGCAATAATAATGTATTAAGAGAGAAAGTCAGTGCTTACTCAGGTCTCTAATAATGCTGTTTACCTCAGTTTCCCCTTTTAAAATTGTGACAGTATTTTCTGCAGGAAGTGTTTGATGTCTCTGAAAGCAATGTCTACAGTGTATAAGAGGGTAACAACAACAGTAATGACACCTAACATTTATTGGATACTATGTTATTTTCTGTATTGTATTCTGTATTGTAATACAATATATTTTTCTGTATTTTTTCACTTATTTTCCAAAACAACCCTGTTAGGTTAAGTCCCATTCTCTCTCTCTGACTACTGTTGTGGTACATTTTTTTTCCCCCATGCTTCCCTTCGCTTTAATCTGATGAATGCTACAGCTTTCTCTTGATGTCAAGGAGTAATCACAAGAGCCTCTTGATCTTGGGGTTGTATTTAAAGATTCCCTTCCCCTGTATAACCACCAAAGCCTGTGCGTGTCTCGAGTGTCTGGGCTCTAGATTGCCACTTTCTAGTCCATTTCCAGCTCAGAGGAAAGATGCTCACTGTGTGGACCTTAATTAAGAAATTGTTTCAGAAGTTACCAGTTCTAAGCAGCTTTTCAAACTAAATCTATGAAGTTGTACACTTGTGAACATTTCTCTATACTTTGTATTCTGGCTACTTAATTTTATCTCAGTGAGAAACAAATTCATAAAGCTACCGTGGCCTAAGCCCCTCACCCTAGGAGTTGTGTTTCTTTCTAATTTTTGGCTTGATTAGTAATCACTTAGGAGGGAAGGAACGATGACTTTCTCATTTGTTTGAATGGGGCCAGTGCTAACAGAGGAATCTAAGAGGAAAAGGATGTCAGCCGGTGTCAGATTACCCAGTAAGGAAAGTAAGCACCAGCTTCCTTGTGCTTACTTACTAGTCTGTAGTGAACAATTTCACATCTTTTTACCACATTAAAGATTCTGTTTGTAGATATGGTTGACATCTCTCTCCCAACCTCACAGTGCCTTCCTATAGAGTCAAAGCTTTTTTTCAGATATACACTCCTGACAGAGATGGAGTACCCAGTAAGAAAGTAAGCATGGGCTTGCTTGTACTTACTGATCTGTAGCTAACAGTTTCTTATTTTACTGGTTAGTAAGTAAGCCTGAACCTATCTTGCTTACTGGGTAATCTGCTCCTGAATTACCAGAGTGGTAAACTGTGTCAGTTTATGCTTGAAGAGGTTGACCTCATGGTGTTTACATTAGACTAATTTATTTGATAGTTCTGGGGTACGTGGTTCATTATTTGATTTAATCCTCACAACTAATCTGTTGCTATATGCAGATGATGAGGAAACAGAGAGGTTAAGTAACTTGTCTGCCATGAACAGTAGGAAGAGCTGGGATTCAGCCTTAAGTTTATTGACTCTATTGTCTGTACCTGCTATGGTAGCACAGGCATCAGGTTAGGTCAGTACTGCATTTTCAGTAGAGTGTTAGGAGAGAGCAAAAGTTAATGTAGGCTTTTATAATGAAGAAAAAGTATCAAATTTTCAATCATCTGAAGAATCAGTGAAATGTCATAGGTTACTAGCAAAGTTAACTTAGTCTTAATATTTATTGTCATTTTGCTTTTGAAGCTAATAAGCCCCTACTGTGGACCCTTAGTTACAAGTTGAACATTTTGGGAATTAAAAGTCTTAAGTTTTAGTTCCAAAGGTTTCTAAATAAAGGACATGTCATCAGGACACTTTATGCCCCAACAGAAGGCTACATAATATACTTTTTTAATAGGCTCTATTTTGCTTTAACAGATTATATCATTTGTTCTTTTGGCACGTTTTTTTGAGTGCCTGATATGTTCCAGGCAGACAAAAATCTCTTTTCCCGTGTTTACAATCTAGTGGAATATACAGGTATTCCTGCTTTTCAGCAGTTCGCTTTATGCCAGTTCACTTTTATGAAAGACCTGCATTAGAACCTGTTTTCTAACCAAAAGAAATCCAAAGAGGATTTTTCACTTTCACTAAAAAGGGCAAAAAGCAAAATTAGCTTCAGTGTTTGTTCTGTAGTGAGCTGCTGAAGAAGTGCACACCCAGAGTACCAAGAGTGGCATTATTGCCGAGCTCCTTCCCTGGGAACTACACTCAGCATCAAGCTTTCAGCTTTGAACTGTGTGTGTGAACGCTACATTTGTTGATGCTTAGTTTTTATGTGCTATTTGGTATGATTTGGTAGGTTATTTTTTTGGGTCTAGTAATGTTCAAAATGTTTTTCTGTATAAATTATTGGTAACTGCTTCTTCCTTTTATGACATTTCAGCTTATGAAAGGTTTCATAGGAACACTCTACTTTTGGATAGTGGGAGAAACCTGTATCATAGTGAATTACGACATAATAGTAGAAGATAGTGTAAATAAGATAATGCACTTAGCCTCAAGGAGGGTTGGTTCTTCTGGGGATACAAAAGGGATTAAAATGTCTTTGTGAATTGAGTGCATGACATCAAAGATCAAAGGAGTTCTGTATAATAAAAAGGATGCCATATGAATTTAGTGTTGAGAACATATTCATATAGAGAAAGAATTTATTTTTATTAAAATTAAGAAATGCTTAATTTAAGAAAAAAAATACAGATGAGAAGAATCTAAGGAAACAATTCTTTCTGAGTGATTTATTTTCTTGCTTTCTTTAACTGTTCCCTTACTAGAGTGATGAAACACGGGATCATGTGGAAGTATGTCCTGATGCTGGTGTTGTTATTCAGGAACTTTCTCAACGCATTGCACTAACTGGAGGTGCTGCACTGATTGCCGATTATGGTCACGATGGAAAGAAGACAGATACCTTCAGAGTATGGATAGTTCAGTATATGATTTATCAGAATTTAAGTGGCATAATTTACTTGTACTTATCAGTTGTTACATTTTAAGCTCATCTGTGGTATTTGTCTTATCTGTGGTTTTCATAGTATTTAGAATTGTTTTAGTACAATACTTTCTAATTAATTTATATTACTGTAATTACCCTTATGTTGCCCCGGGAGCTCTGGTGGCATAGTGCCTAAGGCTGGGCAACCTACTTCTATAGAGGTACTGCCTTAGAAACCCAAGGAAGGGTCGCTATGAGTCAGAATGAACTCAACAGCAGCGAGTTCAGTTTTTTTTGTTTTGGTAAGTTGCCCCAGTGGCACAACGGTTAAGTGCTTAGCTGTTAACCAGAAGATTGGAGGTTCAAACCCACCCAGTGGGGCTCCTTGGGAGAAAGACCTGGCAGTTTACTCCTGTGAAGATTACAGCCTAGAAAATCCTATGAAATAGTTCTCCTCTGCCCCATTTGGACTCTGAGTCAAAAGATTCACTTGACGGCACCTAACAAAAATTATTCTTAGCCCTAGATTCTACTTCCTAACCCTAAGTCCACTGTCCACCAGGGTCTGAATTTTTGCATAGACACTAGTAAGCATCTGAATACAGATTTCCCCCACTATTTGAAAGTAAAGTGTTCCTATGAAATCTTTCATAAGCCAACATGGCTTAAAGTGAAGAAATTACCATTAATTTATTCTATGAGAAAAATTGTTGAGCATTTCCAGACTCTGAAAATAATCTATCAAATCATACCAAATAACACATAAAACCAAAAGTAACACTGACATTCAGTGTTCACAGACACAGTTCAAAGCTATGGTGGCTTGATGGTGAGATGCAGAGTGTAGTTTCTGGGGAAGGAGCTTGGTGATGTCACTCTCGCTGCTCAGAGTACATGAAGGTGAAAATCCCCTTTGAATTTCTTTCAGTTATTGAAAGATACAAATGTAGGTCTCTTGTAAAACCAAAGTGGTGTAAAGTGAACTTTTGAAAAGCAGGGGTACCTGTAAAACAAATGGGAAGATTTTCTTAAACTTGTCCTTTTTTTAAGAAAAATTTTTTAGTACTTCTTGGCAGATTTAATCTAAGTACTGGAATAAGTCACTCAAAATTTTTCATCTTACTCTCAGCTGGCATCTTTTCTTCTCTCCCAGATGTATTTTTTTGCCCTTCCTAAACATCCTTTCTTATGTTCTTTGATCATTTTGTTTAATATACTTTAATTGATATACATCAAAGTCAGTGACATTAGTTGTTTTCTAGGTCTGTCGTTCTCAGTCTGTAGCTTTACTGTATGTCATCTGGAAGAGTGTATTCAAAATACTGATTCTCTAGCTTCGTCTTTAGGATTCTGATTCACTAGGTCAGGGTGGAGTCCATTAACATATTTTCAGATGATTCCAATGCACATGGACTAAGGGTCCACTTGGTAAAACACTATATAGGTTCTGATTACCAAATTCATCTGTAGAAGTAATGAAATACTCTAATCCATCACCAAAAACATTAATGAAGATGTTAAATAAGTGTGTCAAGGGCAGCATCTTCAGGCTTCAACACTGCAATTTTATATTCAGGTTTCCACAACATTTCATTAGAAGGAAGGGTGTTTGTGCATCGAGTTTGAAGGCCACTTGATTTTTAAGCATAATATACTAGAATAGCATGTTTTATCTTGATGGCAACCATAGAAGGGCAAAAACTTGTGTCTTTAATTATGTTCAAGGGCTTCTGTGGTCACAAGCTCCATGACGTCTTAGTTGCTCCAGGAACAGCAGACCTAACAGCTGATGTGGACTTCAGTTACTTGCGCAGAATGGCACAGGGAAAAGTGGCCTCTCTGGGTCCAATAAAACAGCAAATGTTTTTAAAAAACATGGGTATTGATCTCCGGCTGAAGGTAATGGCTTATTTCACTATTATTATTTTTGAAGTACTTATTTTAAATGTTAAGTTCCCCTGGCCCCACTGCTCTTGTAGTTAGCCAGTGTTTGATGTTTGAAGCTTTTCTATAGTAGAAGAGTCAGGGTAACCAGACAGCCTGGCAGTTCATTCATCTCCATGTGAGGTAAATTAAGGCTTGAAATAGTTTTCATTTTTTGTTAAGAAAACTAGGCCATGTTTATTTTATGTCTATAAATTTTATTAACTGTTCTTCTGAGAACACTTAACCCTTCAATGTAGGAAAAGCCACCTGGTGATATTTGTTAAATGCAAATTCACAACAACCTACATTTTTAACAAGCACCCTAGATGTTTCTGAGGCAGGTGATCAGAAATCATATTCTGAGTTCTGCTTTATAGAATGTTTAATAGTTATTAGAATGCATGTAATTATTATGTAATTAGAATGCCTTCCTTCTAGTCATTTTTGATTAAGAATTTTTCTTCTTCTTTTTTAGGTTCTTTTAGATAATTCACATGAGCCATCTGTAAGGCAGCAGTTACTTCAGGGATATGATATGTTAATGAACCCTAAGAAGATGGGAGAAAGATTTAACTTTTTTGCCTTGGTACCTCATCAGAGACTTCCTGATGGAAGCCATCAGACGAATGCACGTGAATCAAAATCCTCTCTAGCACCTGTAGCTGGGTTTGACGAACTTGTTTGGCGGTGACATTTCACCCTGGACTTTTTACCCATCTGCTTAAGAAATCAAAAGAAAGGGAACACATTTCATACATTGTAGGTAAAATAAGCATTACAGTATTTTGCCTCTTCACAGCCAATAAAGATAAGCTTGTTTTGTAGAATGCAATTTTAATTCATAGAAATTTTAAGGTTGTATCTGACTTTTGGTATAAATGTGAGTTCTCAAAAGTTAATGAACAGATGTTTCTGTGGAGCTCAGTTTCCTTTATGACTAAAGCCAGTTGTATTTTCATTTTGTTTCTAAAATAAAAACATGATCCTTGATTGATTTAATAAAAACTTGGAACAAGCTAAATAGGTATTCATAGGGGACTGATTAAATAGAACTCTTCCTATATTAAGGAGCTCTGGTGGCTCAATGGTTAAAGGCACTTATCTGTTAACCAAAAGATTGACAGTTTGAACCCTCCAGCAGCTCAGTGGGAGAAAGATGAGCCAATCTCCTTTCACAAAGATTTACAGCCTTGGAAACCCTATGGGGCAGTTCTACGCTGTCCTATAGGGTCGCTGTGAGTCAGAATCGACTACATGATGGTGGGAAAAAATCCCTATATTATTCTAAAGAATGAGGTTGATCTTTTCTGTATGTTGTGACTTAGAAAGAGGTCTAAAATTTAGCAAGTGAAAAAGTAGGGTGCAGTGTCTATATTTACAGTTCCTTTTTTGTTGGAAGGAGAAAAGCAACATTTAAAGAAATGTTTACATAAAATAACAAAACCTAAGTAGTTCATAAAAATTAATTTACATAAAATTACATAAAAATTATTAGGTACAGATTGGTCATTTTCTGTTCTGAGATATGTACATGCATTTAAAAAAACAAAAACAAACAAGGAAAGGGTGCCTGAGTGCATCTTGGCATTTAAGCCAATCACTGTTATATTTCCCAAGCTGGAAGGGGTTTTGAAGGGTGGGGAGAGACTTATTGTTTTCATTAACTCTTCCTAATTTTGTGCTATTTGAATTTTTTAAAAAACAAGATTAATAAACTTGAATAAATGTAGGCTATGAAGGAGGAAAGATTTTCTAAATTGAGCTAATTAATTCTCCGTTATTTTCAGATAAATGTCAAGTTTTAGTTCTAAATATTAATTCCTCCTTTTTTGATTCACAGAACTTTAATAGTAATATTGGAAACATGGGCTTTCTGAGGAATTGTTATACTAGCAACATAAATTTGTGAGGGAGATTAAAGGAAAAGAATACTAGCCATGTCTTGGAACAAAAAGACTTCACTGTATTGGAATTTTCCTGGTTGAGCAATGAACTGTTGCTTTTTATTGCTTCTTTTGCTTAACTGAGAACAGGACTAGCCTTCTGTATCCAACTCAAAACAAAAGGAAGATGAAAGTCTTAATTTTTAGATGCTGTCCTGCCTTGGACCATTGCTAGTCCCTTTTCAAAAGCTTGGTTAGAAGATGGAAATACTCAGTAGCATCCTACCCCACCACACCCCAAACACGTAACAGTTTTTATAATTAAGGATTAAGAGTTAGGCAATGCCTTACATAACATAAATTAATTTTTATATTAGGTATTTAACGTCTCTAAGTATTCTAGTAGTTGTAATAGTTAACTTTTTAGTGATAGTTCCTGAAAAATTTGTTACATTATAAACTTTCATTCCAAGAAGTAAGACTTCAGATAATTACTTTAAGTTTAATATAAAATAACTGAATTATTTTTCTTTATTTTAGGCAGATTATTTTTTAAGTGTTCTTATATATAGCAATTACAAATATGAGTTCCAAAATAGTTCTATTTCCAAGGCATGGGTAAATAACACAACCAAATAAAATTTTCTTTCCATACCTCTACTAGACATAGGCTCAGGTTTTCACATAGAAAAGTATATGGTGATATGGAAATACATTTTATTATCAAGCTTCTTTGAGGATATTTACAAAAGGTAGGAAGTAACAAAAAATATAAAAATGTACTGAACAGTGTCATTATAGACTATTTTGTACATTATCAAATGTTTCTAGCAAACAAATACTTCTTATACAAATACAACTGACTTCAAGACAAGAAAAGGTTATGCAGGTTATACAGTATCTGGAGTAATTACTCAACTCCAAATTATTTGACAGTGATTGTACACTTTTTTTTTCCAGAAAACTTAGGCATTCAACAACAAAAACAAAACAGAGTGCAATTAATTTCATGGCTTGTAAAGTTTGATTATTTAAGTATAGCAAATGAGTATCATTCCAGTTAATTTTCACCTTATGCAGTAAAACCATAGTAGGGAGCCAGGTGGCCCGGAATTACACCATTTCATGCACACTGATATAAACATATTAACTGTGGAGAAATTTAAGGCATCATCCTTTATCACATGGAAAATGTACTTCTAAAACCTCAAAGTTAATTTGGTTTAATCTTTAGAACTCCTAAATGAGAACAAACCACTGAGGATGCTGAGCCATGTCTCTGGGAGACAGTTATGCATATGCAATACTGCCCGACAATTAAGAGGGTTAAGACAGACTCTGCAGCCATTCTGCTGGGGTTCAAATTCATATATTAACTGTGTGACCTTCAGCAAGTAGTTACATACATTCTCTGTGTCTCAATTTCCTTATCTGCAGGATGGGTTCATACTGTTCTTACCTCATGGTGGTTGAGGGTAAATGAGTTTTAAAATGTATAAAGAGCTTAGAAAATAGGAGCACTGCACAAGTGTCTGTTATCATTTTCTCAAGGATATTTTTAGCTCTAGATAAGATGTAGCTTTAGTAATCCTAGATGGCTCTAGTCTAGTCTGTTTATATACAGGCACATGCTTTTCCTTTGTTACCTCAAACTCAGTGGGCACTGATAGTTAAGACTTTAGCTTATTAAATAAATTCATAATACTGATCTTTACAACAACCCTGTGAGGAAGGGAGAGGCAAGACTTATCTTCGTTTTATAGATAGGAACTTCAGGCTCAGACAAATTGTCTAAATAATGGCCATAACTTAAACCCAGATTTTCTGACTCCAAACCTTTTGCTCTTTACATTACACTTCTTGGGGTTAAACAAGGTTGACAATGATTATGCAGGAATGAATGAAACAAAAAGCCACTAGTTTCTTACCAACCAATGGATGGTCCTAGATCTTAAACTTTTTTTGGAGAGAAAACTAATAGTAATCATTTTAAAGAGTAATGAAAAAGTCTAGCCTTATAAATTGAGTATTATTTCAGAGTAGGAAATAAAAATTTCTTTAGCTGGCTGCTGGAGCTGCAATGTGAACAATGCTCTATCCTTTAGTCTGCTGATAATAGCAGCCCCATTCTTAGCAACATTCCTGCTCGAGCCCCCTCTCCCCCCATCTCCCATGCTTCTGTAGAGTTTTCAATAGGTGAAGTGTAGAATGAAAGGATACTGTTTGCTCTTCTTTCCTATAGCATTAACTGACCCTGTGCGCTGGCCTCATTTTTTGAATGTATTTTATTTTCTCCCTCAAATTATCAACCCTGTATAAAGATAAATTGTGTAATTAAATTTCAGGTCTGCACTCATTGGAAGCTGGAATCCAACTGTGGCATCACAGAGGTGTCAGTGGAAACATAAGCAACAACAAACTTGAGCTCTGAGAAGACATACTTTAAGCTCAGAACTTAGACCAGCAGTTCCCAGTGCTAATTTTGCAACATCAGTTGTCCCAAATTATCTTAAAGGGTGTTACAACATTCTCAAAAGGTGACAACTTAATTTTTATTTGTAGACTTGCAACTCCAAAATGTTAGCAATCATTGTTTTGGAGTCTTGGTCAATCTGGTGGTGGTGGGTTTTTTTTGGGGGGGTGGGGGTATTAAAAAGCCCAGCCCTCCCTTTTCTATGCATCTAAGAAAATCTCCTCAATGCCTTTGTGAACAATTAAACAAATGTTTGAAGTCCTTATAATACTGGTAGCCTCTCATTGATTTCTTAAATGCAAACCTTACAGTAACTAGCCTTACAACTCTTGTATGCAGTACCTGGACTCTAGCTTGCCTTCCTTTTCTTTTTAAAAAATAATGAAACAGGAAAGGGAAGAGAAATTAAGTGCCACTATTGTACTAAGTGAAGGATAAGGGGGATAAAATGTTATTGTTTATGTTACAAAATGTTGTGAAAAGCATTATCTTGATTCCATTACGGGTTTTATTACTCACTGTCCCCTACTGTACCTACTCACTATGAACTACAGTACTGGAGTCATCAATTCCTTATCATATTTCCTTGGGTCTTTGCTTCCTCACAAATGACAACCTACAAAAAACAACAGTTGTGGACCCAAGTGTCAGTTCATAAAATGAAATCCATCCTTATTGAAGTTAGCTCTTTGATACTTAAGGATCTTCTTCCATATCATCTGGATTGGGAGCCATAATGAAGTGTTTTGGGTATACAAGGTTGTGCGTGTATGCATATATTTCCCAGCGGGCATCATCACTTTCATGTGTAATGTAACGTTCTCCAATGCGAGTTTCGAATTCTCGAAGGTCAAGCCAAGTCTGATAGTCCTAGGAAAAAATGAAGTGACTGTGAACCATAAAAGAAACAGAAAATACTGTCAATCTTTTCCTTTGCTTGTTGTTATGTGCCATCGAGTCGGCCCTGACTCACAGTGACCCCTCCTTGGGTTTCCGAGGCAGTATCGCTACAGAAGTAGGAATAAGTATTTGCTATACAATGAGATTCATTTGTAATATTTTAATTAGCAGTGTTTTTCAACTCATTTTTCTCTACTAAAGAATGCAGCTGGTTTATGAAAGTAAAAGTAAGTTACCTCAGGAAGATGAGGTGGCTAATAATAACCAGTAAATCATTTAGTTCTATTCTGTAAGAGGTCTAAACCTTTCTCCACAAAACAGGAAAGAAAGCACTTGGAACCTGTTATCAGAATAATTTAATAATTGGTTGGACTAATTATGATTGCATTTGTTTTGAAGTTAATCCTACCCCTTTAAAATAGTTCTAAAGCTTTTTCCCTTTATCCTGAAGTTTGGGGACATCTCTTACCATAACTATGCAATAATTTTTTGGGGAGAA